AGAAAGTGGCAGAGCTGGAATTCGTAGCCAGCTCTACTCAACTTACAGAGTTCAAGCTCTTAACCACCAAAAACACTGAACTTAACCAAATCAAAAAATCTGGAAGAGGTTATACTGGGATTTTACTCCAATGACTCAAGAATCCCTTATCAATTAAGCACCCAAGGTACTTATCATGAATATATCATGATTACGCATCTTTACATCCATCACTTCTTGTTGCTCTCCTCTGGCATGGCCTCCTCTATACTCTTTCCTCTTATATCTGACTTTCAAAATCCAATTCAAGTCTCACTTCTAGAGACAGACAAACTGGGTTAACATCCAACCTGTTCCATTTAGCTGAATGACTTTGGGGAAGTTCAACTTACTTAAGCTCTTTATACCTGAATCTTTACATTTCTAAGGTAGAGTTAATAAAATCTAAATCATTGGGCTACTGTGAGAATTAAATGAGATAATATATGTAAAGTTTCTTATGGTAATAATCGACTAAGAGTATACTCAATATATTCTAGTTATTAATATTAGCAGTAGCAGTATTTCTGGCTCCATGTATCTTCTCTATGAAAATTTTAGCCCACTGCAGAGAGCAGTGGATTATAAAGGCTATCAGCTTAGAGCTCTACTAGGCAAGTAAATCTCAACTATTCTGTCTTCTAGCATTTTGAGCCCATGTTAACAGTAGCACACAGCTGAAACACAAAACTTCCCATTTCATTTCTGGTGCATCCAAACATTAGGATTCAAACAAACTGGCTTTATAAGACAAGTATTTTCTCTAAATGCATTTTACAAAGGAAGTGTTTATAATCTGTAAGATCTAAAGTAGTTTAGAATTCAAGTGGAAACAATATATAAACCTCCAAAACTTTAAGCTGTAAAAAGTCTTGGGAGCAAAAGGGATGAGCAAAACTGACACACAAATCAAATCAAATATTGGTGGGAGTAGTTTGGCAACGTTTGTGTGAATTGTACTCACATGAACTCATGATTCTTGAGAGCACTAAGTGTCACATTTGGAGAAAAAAATAATATTGTTGTAACAATCACTTTTAAAGAATTAGAATTGAGGATAAAAAGTGCTCTGTATTAAAAAAAATCTTGAAAGTGTATGGGAAAGGGGGATTTTATGTGTATGTAGTTTGGCTGTCTTCACCTGGAAATACGGATATTTTTCCTCCTCAATTTTCAAAAATTCCATTTTAACTGCAATCTTTCAAGAAAACAGAAAATCATAAACCCCCAAAAGGACAGGTTAAAAAAAAAAAACTACAGATAATTTTGAAGCATATCAATAATAATACAGTCAAATCAACATAAATAAACAAATTTATGCTGAAAAACCAACTATCCATCCCAGCCACAACTGATAAAGGGCTTCAATTACAAGTACAACTGTTCCTGTCATCCTGATCTTATAAAGAAACTAAGGATTTTGGAGGTAAACTAACTTGGCCAAGGGCGTGCACACAATTTGTAAGGAATCAAATTCAGGTCTACTTGACTCTAAGCCTTTGCTTACCCTGCTCTTTAAATTAAAATAGCCATACGTGGTTAGTGGCTATCGGACAGAACCTGTCTAGAAAATAAATGGGCTTCCTTTATTTACTCAGATGTCTCACTGATCACGACCTAAACTGAATAGATCACGTTTTGGGGTTGCTCTTAACATCACCCATCCTTAGGGCAACAGGAACTTACTGGAGAGCGATGTATAAAGTGCAAAGGTTTTGAGACTCGATAGCTCTTTCATTCTTGTTTCTTCTACACTTTTGCAGAAAATGTGCTCCCAAGCATACAGCTTTAGAAGTTTGATGCCTTTCAATATTTCATTTGTTTTCTTCAGTCTCTCAGTGGAATAATCCTACAAAACAAAGCAAAAAATAATGCAAGCTGCATCCAGTCCTTTGAAGGCAGTCGTGCATAATAGACAGAGATGGAGGCGATTGTGATTTTTCACTGGTTTTCCCACTAACAATGACTGTGAGATTCCCAGGAGCCTGTGCTTCAGTCTCTTCAACCTTAAAATGAAGAGTTGAATGAGATGATGGCCTCAAAATTTCTTCTAACCCAAAAACTTCTATGTCTCTGTTGCTTCTGTTTAAATAAAAGTAATTTCTTCAGTTTCACGATTTACTTGAATAATGTCTGCAGATAATATAAACATAAATTTAGGGAAATGATAAAGAGAATTTCCACGGGTCCTTCTAACACCTAAATCATTTTATTCTTCCCTTAGAATTATCACCTATACTTACAAGAAGAGAAACAGTGAATTTAAGAAAAGTTAGCCTGTTTCTTATTCTGGAATGTGAGGTTATTGTGTTATGTGTGTTCATATTGCATCTTCATAATACAGTTATTGAAACCAAGCCTATTATCTTTAACTTTAGGAAAATTTTACAAACGTCTTTGTAAATTCTTGTTTAAGGCCTAAATTAGATTTACTAAATATTAACAACTTGAATTAACTCTAGACAGATTTGTAGCAGATACAGGACCTCCATCTAGTCAACTGTTTCAGCTTCCTCCACCATCAAACATTATATTAGAATCATTAGCAAGGTACAAAATGGCCTGTTGCGTATCAAAAAGAGCAGATAAAAAGGCAGATGGCTTATGTTTTGCTCATCTTTTTTGTCTCTACAGGGACTTAAAAAAAAAGGAAAAAATAAAAAATAAAAAAAAAACCCGTCACCGTCAAGTTGATTCAGACTCCTAGTGACCCTTTACGACAGAGCAGAACTGCCCCATGGGTTTCCTAGGCTGTAAATCTTTACGAAAGCAGATTGCTACATCTTTTTCCCACAGAGCAGCTGGCAGGTTCAAATGGCCAGCTCCACTGCCGTACCACGAGGGCTCACAGGGACTTTGGTGCCTATTAAATGATTATTAAACAGGTTGATGAATACAGTATGAATGCCTAAATTAAAGACTGATGTTTGAAGGCCGTCATGTCTCCACTTTATGTCCCCTTCTACAGCTTTCTGTATCTGTGTGAGAGAATAAGAAGGGCCGATGGCTCAGACAGACTTAATGAGGAACCTCACCACAAGCAGCAGAAAAGCAAGTGACGAAAACCACGTGCACGGCGTGTGACTCATTTGTGGAAACACCAGCCTGGGAAACAGTTCTGTCAGTGGCGGCATCTCTACACTTTACGCCTGATTTACAGTCTTGCTGATATTTAATCAAACTTTATTTCTAAACATGCCGTCAACAATTTCATTATTTACAAATATTTATTTAAAAGAAGCCAGTTCTTGCTCAAATAAAACGATTTAATGGCAAACTGAAGCCAGAGAGGGTCAACAATTGGGCTTTTTCTTTCTTGCCAAGTTGACCAGGAACGTATTTAGCCAGAGCAGCTGCCACTGAAACATTTCAGTATAACTCCATAGATTCTCACATGGTTTGATTTGACCACAGGGAAATTTAATTTCAGAAGCCTCAAACCTGACCCTTTACTTGACCCTTGATCCATGTCTTCCATGTCGATAACTGACATTCAATGGCCTCAAAGCAGATTTACATATATTCTTTACACAAGTGATCTAGAAAAGGATTCAAATCACCTCATGGCACTTAAAACTTCAGGGACTATGATGCTGGCATTTGAGAGTCTAAGATTATCAAGATTTAAAGTTTTAATTCACTTTTACAAATTGTTTTGCAACACAGAAAATACATGGTTGCTGCGTAAGAACTAAAATGAAATATAAGAATGATAGCTTTCTAAGTTATCCTTAGTACGTGCTAACTTGCTATATTTTAAAAACAAAACAGCATTACTCAGTTTTTCTAATAACATCTCCAAAAGACATTACTTACAAGAGTGCTCTTCTGAGCTTCGGCCAACTTCGTAGCGATGAAGTACTGAATTGGCGCAAGGAGCACAATGACAGCCGCACCGACCAATGCACTCGATCCAAGTAAATTATAGAGCAGAATCACCCCCATAATGATCTAGGAAGAGAAACACATGGCAAAAGGAAAATGGAGGCCACTGCATGAAAAAAAATGTTTAGTGAAAAATGTTGTATTTCTTAATTATCATAGTATTAAGTTTACTTGGAAGTCAACTCAACTGTGACAGTCAGGTTTTACTATGATTTATTCAGAAAGGCTAAGTAGTAAGATTTATTTTTAGTAGGATGATCCATGCAACTGGTGTCAGACCAATTTATTACACATAGTTGCACAGTGGCCCCATGATTCTTGCCACCTTCTAAAGCAGTCTTCACATTTTTAAAAGGACATGCAATTTTTCTCGAAGGTGTTGCCACCCGCCATAAATTTGATATTCCATATTCTATCGTCCTTCCTGTTCGCTTTTCAAGGCTGGGAGGATGGAAAGCAGTGGGTAGCCCCCTACTTTCTATCATAAGGTCAGTGAGTACAGGATGTCTGTTTGTGGACTAATGGAGAGATCTAAGCTCCTCTCCTTTTTAAAGACCTTGCAGTCATTTAAACACAAGAAGGCCAGCTCTAACTAAAACTGTGAAGCAGCTATCGTTGGTGTCCAGTCTTACCTCATTTCTCTTTTAAAATTGACTTCCCAAACCCACAGCTGAACCACCTAGGCCTAATCTCTCTGGTTTGCCACTTTCTTCTTCTGCCTTTGAAAACTCAAGATTTAACCTTGGGTGGTGCAGTTCATCACTTGACTACTAGCTAAAAGGTTAGCAGTTCAAACCCACCCAGAGGAGCCTCCAAAGACAGGCATGGTGATCTGCTTCTGAAAGGTCACAGCCTTGAAAACTCTATGGAGCCGTTCTACTTTGCACACATGGGGTCGCTATGAGTCAGAATTAACTCAACAGCAACTAACCACAACAACATCCTCTCCACTGCAAATGTTTTCCCAGTAGCTCAGCCCACAATGCCCAAAATGTCCAGGAATGAACTGTCTCCATGCAGTTCAAGCATGTAATCCATGCTTATATGCCAATGATAACATATTAATAGCTGCCTCTGGAGGCAGCAACAAGTGTTTACTGCCTAACCAATTAGACACTTTAGAAATTCCAATCAAAACAGGAAATTTCTTAACATCACCCGTGACACAGTCATTCAGAAGCAGCCTGAGACTTTCGGTGCACTTTAAATTATACCACATAGGCAGCTACCTAATTGACCTATGTATAAGTGCATTTTGATAGAATCAGACAAAGCGTATTTTAAAACTAATTTTGTACCAAGCACTGTGCATGATACATACTTTTATCCGACTTGGATTTCCATTTAAAAAAAAATGAAAAGGCAAACAATAAAAGTGAACACTAGCATATCTTCTTTACTATCTTAGTATTTTAATAAATGTGGCACACAGGAGACAGACGGCAGCAAATAAGGTCTCCATTTTAAGCTCCATTTACACGATGCAAAACTCAAGACAACTAAGAATACGCAGCATCACAAAAAGTGAAAAAATGAATACGTTACTTTTGCCATTTTTACCGAACAGGGGAAAAACCCTGTGTTCTTTACTAAAACGCTGTCTCCCAAGGGCAAGAACTAAACAGCCTCCTAGCTTGCCACTGTTCCTACTACCTTATAAGGTTTGACATTTTATAATATGCCAGTTATTGGAACTACGAGATAGATTGAAACAACTGCTCTAGGTTACAAAGGTTGTAAGAGGGTTTGTCAAAGTGGAAGGCATCATATCTTGAATCTGTGACTTGTATGACTCTGGGCAATAAATAATAACAACTAACAATTACTGAGTGCCCAGGAAATGTTAGGACTGTGCTAAATGCTTTGCACATATTAAATGATTTAGTCTTAACAATTCCTGCAACTCTGTGTAGCTGATACAATTATCATCTCCATTTTACAGTTGAGGAAACTAATGCTCTGAGAGGTTAAATAATTTGTGCAACAAAGTGGTAGAGCAGATATTTGAAACCACACAGTATAATTCCCAACCCCACTTTTTTAAGCCTATGCCATAGTATTTATGAGCCTCAGTTTCCTTGTCTATAAAAAGGGCATAGCGATGTTAGCATATTCCAAAGGTTTTTCCCTTACTGAGCTAAATATCTTGTTGCTCCTTTAGCTTTTAATTGTCTCTGAAAATGAGAATCGTACTTATATTGATCTACCTGAACAGGCATAGCCCATAGATTTGGACACAGGAACAAAAACCACATAAGCTGATTAGTTTCGATGGCAACCAAGTTATTGATCTGTCCCAGGGTCATCTCACCCATGGATAAGTTAGATGTAGAGAGTCTAAGGATTTTATTGTATATCATGGCCTGCAAGAAAGGAAAGAGGAAAAAAAGGATGACTTGAAGCTCTAAATTTAATAATCAATATTATGCTCATTTATTTTCCTTGAAAAAAGATAACATTTCAAATATTTTTAAAACTTTTAAAAAAAAACAAAACACTATGCCATTTTCTTAAAGCAACCACTATTTTCATTTTAGCATAGTTACTTTCAGTCCTCAACTAAATAGAAACTTATTCATTCTAGCACTATAATCAAAACATACATTCAACTTTAAACATATGCTCTAGACCAAACAGAAATAGAAATAAGTAAATGCAATATTTCAAAATAATATCCTTCAGATATTATTGTAAAAGTTGTTTTTAATTCAGAGGTTCCTGGGTGGCACAAAAGTTCTGTGTTTCTTTCATTACATAGATTCCTCATAATTATACCCTTAATATGAAACAAGTTGTCATTTTGGATAAAAAATGAAAATATAAATGCTTTCATTTATAATGAAAAATAATTTTCAGCATAACTTATCTTCATTAAATTCGTTAAATTCCTAAAAGTGTTGATGGTGTGCTACCCAAGACAAAACTGAATAAAGAACCAAAATTGAAGCCACTACTAATCCTATAAGGAGCCCTGATGGTGCAATGGTTAAGTTCTCAGCTACTACCTGAAAGGTTGGCGATTTGAACCCACCCAGTGGCTCCACGGAAGAAAGACTTGGCAATCTGCTTTCATAAAGATTGTTTCTGTTGTTGTTGATGCTGTGTGCCATCCAGGTGATTCCAACTCATGGTGATCGTAAAAATTACAGCCAAGAAAACCCTACGTGGCAGTTCTACTCTGTCACATGGGGTTGCTATGGATCAGAATCAACTCGATGGCACCTAACAATAACAGCTAATCCTGTATGATATATGGATGATCTATGGATGATATATGGCATTTTCAAGAAACAAAGAGAACTCAAAGCTCATACGTACCAGCAGAGCTCCACGGAGGTTAATGCCGGTTTCTATGGTCACATAGTAGGAAGCTTGCAGAAATGTCCTTTGCAGAATAAGGGCCAAGAAGAGAAGAACTGCCAGAACATAAGCATTTTCAAGAAATTCCTTTGATGAGAGGGTTTCTGAAATCTTGTTCCAAAAGAAAAAATAAAGATGAATTAAAATTAATCTTTTCATACACTAGGTGTACAGTTTAAA